ATTGGGGGCCGTGTTCTGAAGAGCTGCCGAGGGCAGAGGTAATGCCCTCAGTGGCCGACTTGGGGGTTTGCTGAGCTGGTGGAAGGGGAGGGAGGGAGGGAGGGAGGGAGGGACAGATGGTGGATGACCGAGGGGGTGGCTCTCAGCGGCCTCCTGATGTCCCTGGGGTGGGCTCAGTCCCTTTCTCTCTCACTCATAAAGGTCTGGGCAGCACGGGCCCTGCCCCCACCCCTCCTGTCCTGTCCAGCTGTCCCATGAGCTCCAGGCTGGTGGCCTGAGAGAGTGGGGGTGGGACACACACACCACACACATTCTCGAACATGCATTCACACACACATACACACACACACACATTCTCACACACACACACACACTCACATTCTCACACTCACACACACACACACATTCTCACATACACACACACACATTCACACACACACACATTCTCTCTCTCTCTCTCTCTCTCCACTCACATTCACACACACACACACACACACACACTCATTCTCTCTCTCACACACACACACACACACACACACACAGCTCTAAGCCAAACTGCTTCCCCTCACCTCCCAGGAAGGTGATCCAATACTTCCCAGATGCCTGTGACAGAGCCAGGAATTCCGTGTGACGGTGACATTAAAGAATCAGGCAGACCCCCCCCCCCCCGGAAAAAGCTGTGAGGGGCAGTGCCCCGGCTGCATGGAACTTTCTGGCACTTCTTACTCCACACTCCACCGCAGCCAGGACGAACAGCAAGCGGCCTCCCTGGAGAGGGGATGGCTGTCAGGGAGGTGCCTCGTCCTGAGCTGTCGCATATCCAGGGGACAGTGGGGGTGGTACCCCCAATTCTGGGCAACCCTGGCCATCGTGGGGATTGTCCTGGGCTGGCACTGGGACGCGAGGGTTATTCTGATTCAGGTTTTAAGTAGCATTTCCTGCCACACTCAGACCACCTGTCAGGGAGGGAACCAGGGTCCACGAGGAGCTGCCTGGCCCGGGCGTGAGCGGGGCCTGACGGGCTGGCCACACAGCCAGTGAGACTCACAGGACACCCGTGACCAAGGGCCCTGAGACACGCTGGGGTCCAACCCTCCCTCTAAACATGAGGAAACGAGGCTGAGAGCAGCGCAGGCAGCTGCCTGGGGCCACAGGGCCAGCAGCACACAGACCTCTCCGCGCTTCCTCTGACCTCACAGCACCCTTCTGGCGGGGATGGCTCCCAGGCCACTTTACAGATGGGGAAGCAGAGGCTCAGAGAGGTCAAGCTCCCCGCTCAAGGTCATCCAGCCCGGGAGAGGCCTGGAGGCCCCGCTGTGACTCCGGTGCCCAGCACTGGCTGCTCTTCTCTTCGCATCTCTGTCTGGGCTTCCTGGGCACGAGCCAGGGCTAAGGCCAAGGATCAGAGGCCGAGCGCAGGGCAAGGCAGACACAGAGGCACATTACATAACGCCCCTTCCCCCTTCCGGGCCCCACCGCCTAGGGGTGCCGCCAGGCCACCCACACTGAGAACCTGACTCCAACCCGAGGACACTATGGCCCCAACAACTGGCACTGGCTCTTTCCAAAGACATGACAGTTGGAGGCGCCAGGACGCGCTGGTTTGCCCCTTCCTCTCTTGTTTCCTCTGACTGAGTAGCAAATACAATACGAATAATGATAATAATAATTAGAATAAATATAACCTGAAGACGCGTGGGGTCTCGTTGCCATGGCAACCGCGGGAGCTAATCAGCTTCCGAGGCCGCTGCCGGCCACCACACGGGCCCCAGGCACCGGATCAATACCGAGTCGGTCCCGGGAGGCGGCGGCAGCTCCACGTCTCCAGGGCAACGGGCCGCCCCAGGCGCCTGACTGCGCGGCCCCTCAGCTATTCGATTCTTCCGGGAACGAGCCCCTGCCCATCTGCTCTCTCTTGCCATTCTTCCCCTGCCATCACCTTGGCCTTCCTGCTCCTCGAGACAGTAAGATTTAACTCAGACGGAGAAAGTAAAAGCCTAGGCAAAAGTTTAAGCAGAAACAGCGCATCTGCACAGTCTCAGGAGATGAGTCATTACAAAGGGGTGAGTTTACATTGGAGAATCCTGGCAGGCACCCCATTAACCAAGGGATCAAGGTTAACATCGCCAATGATAGGACATAGTGTTATCTATAGCCCTGTGGGGTGCACCCAGAAGGGCATCCCACTTCTGAGGTACTGCCACAGACCTGCTGAAAATGCATGACCTCAGTGCAGCCATAAGAAACATCAGGCAAACCAAAAGCACCGTGACTGCCTCTAGTGAAACCCATTTCAGACTTCTGTCCTTGAGAACTATAGCCATGATCAATTCGTGTTGTTCTAAGCCACTAAATTCGTGGTAATTTGTTACAACAATAAGCAAGTAGTAGCTAGGCTCTCTGAGGGCAGGGAGGATTGTTCATCCCACAGTCCCAGCGTGTAGTGCCTAGGGTGGTCAGTAAACAATTATTGAATGAATAAATAAGCTTTTCATGATAAACATCATTACCCCATTTTATGGATGAGTAAATTCAGGTACCCAAGCCAGTAAATGTCAAGCTGTTTGGAAACCTGACTCCAAAATGGAACTCTTTTCACCAACCCAGGCTATTGAATAAAATCCCAGGTTTTCACAGATTAAAAGAAGCATTACAGATCCCAATCTAATCTTATTTGCCAAACATAAAATACAGGGCCAGAGAGGGTAACTTACCCAAAGTCATACAGCTCCTACGAGCAGAACAGGGACTAGAACCTGATCTCCCAGTCAACAAGGACAGAATAGATAATGTTAAACCCTTTAACATTATCATTATTAAAATACAATACAGGGCCCTGGCCGGGGAGCTCTGTTGGTTGGAGTGTTTTCCCAAAAGGTTGTGGGTTCAATTCCCAGTCAGGGCACATACCTAAGCTGCGAGTTTGATCCCCAGTCGGGGTGCATATGGGAGGCAACTGTCTCACATAGATCTCTCTCTCTCTCTCTCTCTCTCTCTTTCCCTCCCCTCTTCTCATTTTTCCTTTCGCAATCTCTTTTCTTCCCCTCGCGTGCGCTCCACCCTGGTGCTTCTCTTAACGTTCCTTTGGCGATCCCTTCCTTCCTTCCTTCTGTCCATCCCTCTCAGCATCTTTTTTCCTCCCTGCCCTGTGCCTCTTTCTTCGACTCCTTCCTTCCTACTTTTCCTTCTCTCCTCCCGCGTTCCTTCCTCTGCTCAGCTCCTTTCTCTCTCCTTTGTTCCTTTCTTCCTCTCTCCTCCCTTCTTCTCTCCTCTCCCCCCACCCGGCTCTGGTTCTGTCCCCCAGGCCCACCGCACACTCACCTGCCTCCCTCTTGGTTGCTCCCCAGCCCTGAGCGAGGCTGGGCTCCAGGCTCTCCCAGCCCCTCCTGCACCTGCGCCAGGAGGGCCCCACCCACAGTGCCAAGCCAGACCTTCCCTGTAGCCAGACCTTCCCTGTAGCCAGACCTGCTGGAGGTCAATGCCAGGGGCCAATGTCAGGGTCGGGTCGGGTGTGAGGATCTCATCAGGCAGATCCTCTGTCCACTTTCCTAGGAAAAGCCCAGCTTCTCTGACCAGAGCAGAGACTACTGCTTGGGCCCCTCTCCTGTTCCCGCCTCCTTTTCGCCTCTCCTCCCGGCAGCACCCCCATTTCACCCCTCACCTGCAGGACAAGACTGTGCTAGACTCTGTGTGGCCTCAAGCCAGTTCCCTCCCTCACCCTCAGTAAGCCTCAGTTTCCCCACCTTCCTCTGTCCCTGACCCAGTGACCTCCAGTGGCAACGAAGGCCATGTGGGGGCACATGGTAGTCTCCTGGAGGACCCCACAAAGGGATCGCCTTTGGGGAGGGGCGGGAGGGGGGGTTGAGTGCTCTGGGGGGCAGGCCAGTTCCCCGCCCCCAGACCCTGTCTCTCACTGCCCTGGACCCGCTTCATTTCACCAGGAGCTGGGCTGAGCCCTTTATATGCCTCGTTTTATTTATTCCTCACCATTTTACAGATGGGGCAACTGGGGCTCAGAGAGGTTAGGACACCTGCCCTGAGCCACACAGCCAGCGAGGAGCAGAACCAGGACTGCAGCTCAGACCCCGCTGACCTTCAAGCCCAGGCCCCACACCCGCGACTCACTCCCAGGTGCCAGCGCTTTGCTGGAGCGCCTTCCTCCTCACCAAGACAGCCCTTCAAGGACGGGCCTGTCTCCTTCAAGATCCCAGTGCTGAGCGGCCGGGGCCCAGGCAGGTGGCTGAGGCACCTCACTGGAGGGTGAGGGAGGGAACAGTGCCAGGGTGCCCCCTGCAGGAAGCCTGCGGCTCTGGGATGCCTCCGTTTCCCATCTGCAGCCCAGGAATCCATGCCCCTTAGCTCTCCCTTGGATATGGTTTAAGCAGATGCTTGGGGTCTTTGAGGCTGGGGTGCGCACGTGTGCACGCGGGTGTGTGGTGTATGCATGGGATGGGTGTGCTGTTTGTGTGGTGTGCCTGTGTGTGCCTGTGTGTGCCTGTGTGTGCCTGTGTGTGCATTCAGGGCGTGTTGAAAACCTCCCCGTTGAGGAGCCCCCCCACCTCCCTCACATCTCGCAGCAGGGCTCTGTGTCCATCCTGGGCTCAGGTGCAGCACTGGACACCCAGAGATGAGAGAGCTCAGCCCGAAGACGCTCACAGCCTGGGCGGGTGACACGTGGGATGTCAGACCTCCGGCAACGCCCATTCTCTAAGCTGAAACACAGGCACCCCTCCTGGCGTCCGAGGCCCTGTGCCCGCTCAGCCAGCTGCCTTCCCAGCCTCCTCTGCAGCCACTCGCCCTGAGCTCAGCACACCCCCGTGGGCTCGGCACACTGCCCATTCTCTACAGCTGAAACACAGGCACCCCTCCTGGCGTCTGAGGCCCTGTGCCCGCTCACCCAGCTGCCTTCCCAGCCTCCTCTGCAGCCACGCGCCCTGAGCTCAGCACACCCCCGTGGGCTCGGCACACCCCCGTGGGCTCGGCACACCTCCATCACACACCTGCCGTGGGCGCGGGGCTGGCCCCTCGCTGTGCTCCCAGCGCCCGCACCTCCCGCTGCCCTGCAGTCAGCCCTGCACCTGGACGAAGCTCCTTTGCCTCCCTGAGCCTCAGTTTCCTCATCCACAAAATGGGGATGATTCCACCCACCTCAAAGGGTCAACGTGAGGATTAAATGAGAGGCTGTCAGACGGGAAACCGTCCTGCTGATTATCCTGAAATAAATGCACGCCTGGCACTGAGCAGGTGTTTGATCTGCACCAGTGTCCCTTCCGTTCTTCCAGGAGGTCACGGGGTGGGCAGGCGAGAGCGTGGACTTGGGAACTGGTCAGACCTGGGTTGAACCTCAGCTTGGCCACTCACCAGCCGGGTGACCGGGGGCCAGTTCATGCCCCTCCCAGCCCCTGCGCTCTGGTCTCCTGCGGCTGCTGTAACCATGATCACAAACGTGGCGGCTAAAACCACACGCGGGCAATGACTTACAGAAACCCCCAAATCCGCCCCACTGGGCTGAAGTCGAGGTGTCAGCAGGGCCGCCTCCCCTGGAGGTTCGAGGGGAGAACCCTGGCTCCCGATGGCCGCGGGCATCCTTGACTTGTGGTCACTCCGACCTTCAAGGGCGGCGCCTTCCAGTCTCTCCGTCCCATCTGCACGTGGCCACCTGTCTGTGTGCAGAGCCCCCGTGGCCCCCTCAGGACACCTGTGGTTCAGTGTGGGCACCCCGATAATCCAGGATAATCCCCCATCTCAAGATCCTTCTCAATCACACCCACAAAGCTCCTTCTGTCTCCGGCTGTACAGGAAGCACCCCGGTACCAGGGACACGACAGGAGGGTATCTATCGGGTGGGGAGCATCCTCCATCTCCGAACTGTGCAGCGCGGAGCAGCACGAGGCAGGCTCGGGGAGGGGGGATGGGAGGGGGGCAGGGGTGACAAGCAAGGGCCCTGGCACCATGGATCCTTCAGCAAATATTTGTTGTCTCCAGTCTGGGCTGGGCTGGGCTGGGCTGGGCTGGGGGAGGGGGAGTGATAGGAAAAAAAAAGAGGGGTGGGAGGAGGGGAAGAGATAAGGGGGGAGAGAGGTGATGGGGGTGCAGGTGATCACACAGCCCGCCATGGGAACCGTTACCGGCTCCATCCACGCGCCTTTATCCGTTCCTATTTACTATTCCCTGCCTTCGGGAGGCCTGCTCCCCCGCAATCCACGCTGCTCCCAGGTTGGGGGTGGGGCGGCCGGCTGGCGGGGAGGGCGGCCTGGCGATGACTCACACTCCTTCTCTCTGGTGGAGAGCAGCCTTTTGAAAGCGCTGGCTGGGGAGGGAGCTAAATTTAAAGCCAGGCTTCCCGAGAAGATCACCTGCCACGTCAAAATCACTGCCATTTCATGAGACGTTGGGGGCACGCGGCACTCTGCCACCGTCCAGGCCCCAG